GCTCTTTGACATTGAGGCGGGGTGCTGTCATGCCCTGGTCTCTGTGGATCCTTTCCAGAATTTGGTTCACTTGCAGCATCTGGCTGACGATGTGTGCTCCCCCCACCCACCCCTCAGTCCGTGCTCTGCTCTCATTCTGGACCCTTTCACAGGCTGCCTTGCAGGTTGGTGGCCACGGGGAACGGCTGTGCCAGTGCCGGCAGGTGGTTCTCACCACGTCCAAGGCCATCCCCATGCAGGTAGATGGAGAGCCCTGCAAGCTGGCGGCTTCCTGCATCCACATCTCCCTGCGCAACCAAGCCAACATGGTGCAGAAGACCAAGCGGCGCAATTCCATGCCTCTGCTTAACGAGTAGGTTTCTCAAATCAATCTGCCACCTCCTCTCCAAAGCAGAAGGGATGGAGGGGGAAGGGATGGGACTGATCCATCACTCCCAGAGGCGTTTTGATCCTCTCTCAAGAAGGGCCTGGGAAGGGATCAGGTCACAGAAGTACGGCCAGGCCCTGATGCTGGAGAAGCTGCTGGTGCCAAGCTGCCCACCCCAGTCTGTGCTCTTGCCTGTTTTGGAGGGGTGAGCGGGATAAGAAGAAAGTGGGCTGTTGCCTTCTGATCCCATCCCTTTTCCTTCCCCCCTGCACGCAGCCAGCAGCCAGTGCCCGAGCGGCTGCGGATCCGGGTGAGCCGAATCAGCATGCGCGACTACGAGGCACTGCACTATGACAAGGAAAAGCTCAAGGAAGCCTGTGAGTGATCAGGGGGTGGGAGCCGCAGTCCCCGAGTCCGGCAGTACCCTCAGCTCGGCTGTGTGAGGTGTAGGGGACGGGGCACGGGGATGCTTCCTGAGTTGTGTCTGTGCCCTGTCGTGCAGCTGTGCCGCTGGGGATCATTGTGGTTCCAGGAGACAGCGACCTGGAGTTGTGCCGGACCCAAATCGAGAGGCTGCAAGAGGTGAGGCTTTGCGTGGGAAGTGGTCATGGCTGGATGCCAAGGATGGAGGGGCTCGGGGAAGGGATTTCTAAGCCTCCTTGACCTGCACGCACCAACACACATGCTCCTGCTTCTGGTGGCAGATCATGGTTTGCCTTCACCCCATGGTGGAGGCAGGATCCCAAGCTGGATGGCTTGTTACTTCCTGCTCTCTGGCAGCTTCTTTCTCAGTGTTGCTCTTCTGACCTTGTTCTCCAGGCCCAGAGTGTCGGTGGCCCAGAAAAATTATGGGTCAGTGGAAAAAGCCAGCATACATTCTATGGGGGCCTATCACCCCCGGGGTGTTTGGGGAGGCCTTTCCTCTGTCAGTTTGTTTGCTGTGCTGCGTTCCTTCAGCCCTCTGTGGGCTCCGTCTTTCCTGGCACAGCTCTGCCCCTCCCAGGGTGCCTGGATTAGGGTTGCTCCCCCCTCCAACTCTCTTCATTTGCAAGTACTAACTTTTGTGCTCCTGCCAATGTGCTAGTGCGTATCCATGACCCGGGCACGGGCTATGTAACCCTTGCTCCTGGTGAGCAACGCCTTCTGAGCCCACAGCGTGCCTCCTGGTGCCGCACTGCTCAATCTGATTTTCTCTCAGAAGATTGAAGGGACCTTGCTCAGTCCCCAGTTAGCTGGCTCTTGTGCCTGAGGGAATCCCATCCAGCACGTGCGTAGTGTCCTGCAGGGCTGAGTTGCAGAGCTGCTTGCCCGGGCTGGCACACTGGCATCTGCTCCTTGCTCTGCCTGCCTGTCCCCTGCCCGCCTTGTGCCCAGGCACTGGTGAGGACAAGCAGACAGGCACATAGCTACCCAGGCTCCGAGGGTAACGCTTTCCTGTGGCATCAACCTGCTAGACCGATGCCTTTGCAACCTCCTGTACCTCTAAAGCTGTACGTTGAGGCTGGTGTTCCTCGGTCACCTCATGGTTTACCTCTTCTCTCTCCTTGGGCAACCACTGTGCTCTGGCCTCAAAGCAGGGCAGGGACCAGGGATCTTGGCCAGGCAGCGTGTAAAGCCAGATATGGCAGCACATTAAGCAACACCAGTGGGACGAGAGAGGGGCTGGGGGGCCGCCCAGAAAAAGGCTGTAATGGCACACCTTGCCTTTCTGCAGGATTTCCCTCCACAGCCCTCTGCTTTAGAGCGCCTGCTCTTTCAGGTGTGTACGGCCTCGCTCTGTCACCCGGGCCCATCTGTCATGTGCGCCGTGCAGGTCTCGTGGGCTTGTCTTGTGGCACCTCTCTCTTCACTGAGCTGGTGTGTGTCGGCTCCAGTCTGTCCCGTGCTGCTCCCCATCGCTGTGTGCTGTGCCTGTGTTCCCCTTTCCATCCAAGCACCTGTGGTCCTCCATGTCTGCAGGGACCTCCCAAAGCAGGAGGGACGCTCTGGGGAGAGATGGGGAGGTCAAGAGACGTGACTTTCTCCTCTCTTTTTTTATGCAGGAGGGAGATGGAGCCAAACCGAAGACACTGTCATCCCAGAAGCTGTCACCCAAGTGGTGCTTCCTGGACTGTGAGTATCATCTTAGAATCATAGAATAGTTTGGGTTGGAAGGGACCTTTAAAGGTCACCTAGTCCAACCCCCCTGCCATGGGCAGGGACATCTTCAACTAGATCAGGTTGCTCAGAGCCCCGTCCAACCTGACCTTGAATGTTTCCAGGGATGGGGCATCTACCACCTCTCTGGGCAATCTGTGCCAGTGTTTCACCACCCTCATTGTAAAACATTTCTTCCTTATATCTAGTCTGAATCTACCCTCTTTTAATTTAAAACCATTCCCCCTTGTCCTGTTGCAACAGGCCCTGATCAAAAGTTTGCCACAATCTTTCTTATAAGCCCCCTTTAAGGATTGCAAGGCTGCAGTAAGGTCTCTCTGAAGCCTTCTCTTCTCCAGGCTGAACAACCGCAACTCTCTCAGCCTTTCCTCATAGGAGAGGCATTCCATCCCCCGGGAGAGCTGTGTCTGAATTTGGGGGCATGAGGGGACAGATCTTTAGTGACGAGTCACTGAGAGCCACGTGGGACTTGGGACTCATGGATGTTGGGGTCTTTGTGGCCGAGTGCAGCAGTTTTTTGCCCCAGGCTGTGTCTCTGGCTGCTGACCAGGAGTGGAGTGGTGGGCGTCTGCTGGTCTCCTGCCCCCCAGAGCTGAAGGCAGCTTGGCAGCGTGTGTCCCGTCACTGCGGGACTGCTGGAGTTGCTCTCCTGTGTGATGCAGGCAGGGGGCCCCCCTGCTCCAGTACGCTGGAGGCTCACCGTGAGCATCCCAGTGGATTGGGAGCAGGCTCCCCGCTGGGCTCCGGCTGCTTCTTCTCCCCTGCCTGAAAGTAGCTTTCTCCTCTCCCTTTGCCTTCAACTGACCAAGAGGCTCCAGAGCTCTCCCTCTGTACCTGGAAGTTTGCTGAGAGAAATGGCTGCTGGTGGCACTTCACCTCTCTGGCTTCCCAGTAGCAAGGTGCAGAGCACAGCTGTGGGTTGCAAAGTGGGCCTGGGAAGCCTCGTGCTAGGCAGAGAGGATGCAGCTTCTCCCTTCAGGGTTCCAGCCCTGCGCGTGGGACCTGCTGCTGCTCCCAGGTGTCACTACCAGGACTGCTGTACCAGGACCGCTTTCCCTCTTCCTGCCAGTCTCCCAGCAGCAGGTTCTGGGCTCAGGAAAATGTGTCAGGAAAGAGGCCAGAGCCTCATCCAAGGCAGCGCAGGCTCATTCAAGCGGCTGAATTACAGGCCTTCAGCAGCAGCTCCCTGGCTGTAAATCTCCAGCCAGGACAGGACAAACGGAGCTCTTTCACTCTTCTCATCTGCTCTGGCCCGTCCCCACTCTGTTTGCTCCCCAAGGGTCCCACCGCAGCAACCTCGCCTGGGCAGGCACCAGCAGCCACACTGGAGAAGTGCCACCCTGGGTGGGGACCCAGTTGTCCTGGCTCTGTGCTCTTGCTTGTCCTGCTCTCCCCTGGTAATGCTGTAAATCCCCAGCCCCTCCCTGCTCCCCCAGGGTGGTGGCTGCTTGGGTCTGGCTCCACCACAGCCACTTGCTCCATTGGTGTTGAAGGAGCTCCTCTCCTGCTGTGGGGATCTCTCCTCTAAGGAAGAGGGTTGAGCAGAGGGATGCACTCGGGCAGGCTGCTGCCAGCTACAGGCTGAAACTCTCTCCTACCGTCCTAGGAGACAGGGGCTTGGGTCTACAGCTGGTGGTGGCGTGCTCCATCATACCTGGCAGTCACAAGCTCTGACATGGCTCATGGTGGTCCATGGGACCTTACTCAGTCAAGTCAGTGGGAGACTGAGCTCCCTCTTCTCCCAGCCCTGCTTAGTGCCCCCATTTCTCCGTTCTCTGCAACGAGGTGTGCAATGTTAAATTGGAGTAGTTCCTCACCTGGTGCAAGTGAATGCTGAGACGTGCTCTGCACAGCCCTGAGCTTCATCTGCTCAGGCTAATGCTGGAGCACCCGAAAGCCCCCAGGAAGGCCACAGCGTCAGCCTTCCCTGTGGCTCCCTGCCAGGAGTCATCGAGGAGGAGATAGCAAACAAAGGCATGTTGCACGGGGGCATGGTGGTCTGTAGGCCCAAGGGGCTGCCTCTCGGGTAAAGAGAGCAGCAGGGTCCCAAAGGGAAGGGGGCTGCTCCTGGTCAGGGGTTGCTGTTTGCTTTTCTGAGCCCTCCATGCAGGCCACGAAGTGGCTGGATAGTTCACTGCCTCTCGGTGGCAGAAAGCGGCCGTCTCCCTCATCCCACACCAAGAATCACTCTGTCTCCCTCTGTCCCTGTCTTACAGCAACCACAGCTGATCGGTTCTACAGGATAGACCGCGCACAGGTGAGTGTGGCCTCGTCCTCTGCCGTTGTCCCCCCCCGGCATCTGCTGGGAAGGTGCTTGAGTGTCCTGCATTCACGTGGACCGACAGACAGGCTCAGCCTTGGAAACACACAGGTCTTGCACCGCTTCCCGGCCGTGTGGCATCCCCCAAGGGGTGGTGTGACCGGCCTGGCCCAGGACCAGCCCCAGCACCTCCAGTTTCCCATGGAAAGGGAGGAAGCGTGGGTGGGAGCACAGAGACTTGGGTTGGAAGCTGCCTGCAGGACCCTGCAGCGGAGCGGGTAAGGAATAGCAATGTAGCAAGGCTGGCCAGACACCCACCGAGTGGGGTCGTCTTACCCAGCATTAAATACTTTCCCTAATGATCTGGAGAGGGGGACGTGGAGATGTCTGGAGAGGTGTACGGGTCAGCTGCTAGGTTGGGAGTTGATGAGAAGCCTGAAAAGGACAAGGAGATGCGGAAGCTTCCCAGGCATAGGTCCTAGGACTCTTCGAGCCACCATCACTCTGCTGAGCGAGTGGGTGGCCTACAAGGCATGGCATGTGAGGGGATGGCAGATGGAGCTATGCAGAAGTAGGTCCTGCTTATGAGGAGGCTGATTTGTGTCTTTCAGGAGCACCTCAACTATGTGACAGAGATCTCTCAGGACGAACTCTATGTGCTGGACCCAGAGCTGGTGATCACCCAGACCGTGGGCACCTCTCCTGCCATGCCTGACCTTGTCGACTTGTCTGCCGCACCCGCTGGGCACCATTTTGCATTCCCCTCCTCCTCTTCCTCTCCACCCTCCTCTCCTGCCCCCAGGTGAGTCTGGGGTGGGAAAGAATGGGTTGCTGGACCTCAGGAAGGATGGGCAGTGATGGGAGAGCCAGGGTTGGCTTCACTGCATTGATCCATGGGCCAGATTACAGGGGGGCTCCCAGGAAGCGAGCAGGAATTCAGTGCTGAGTTAGACCAAGCGGTGAGATGCTGTCCTGTCCTCCCTGCTCCCCAGCCAGTGCTGCTGGAGGCGGTGGGGCATCACCAGGCTGCTCAGCCGTGAGGTCGAGCTCCAGCACCTGGCCCCTGGGGCAAAGGGCATGGGTGTCTATTGGCCCAAGTAAGGGCAGCCTCAGGTACAGGTAAGCAACAGAGCTGGGAGCAGCAGTAGAAATGGGAGTGGGAATGGGGAAGAACCCAGATTGAGGAAGAAGCGGGTGGCATGACCAAAGAGCAGCAAAGTCCCTTGGCCTGCGTCTGTTCCTCCTTGCTGGAGGAGTGCCACGGGCAGGCTTCTCCACAGCTATCCCTCCACCTGCCGTGTGCTCTTTTGGGTGATCTGCTGCCAGGACTGGCAGAGTTAGTTACGCCTTTTCTTCTTCCCTTCCAGTGCTGAGCCCGAGCGCTGCCTCCTGCACAAAGGTGAGTCCTGTCCCTCTCCCTGTCGCACCCTCTCTCAGGTCGTGCTGTTTTGGGTCCCCACCACGGTTTTTTTGGCCTGTTCTTTCCCTGGTGTGCAAGCAGGAGCCCTGCTGTCTGTGGGAGCGCAGAGCTCCACAGGCGGGTGACCCCAGAGTTGGGCAGGAGAGACCTGACAGTGATTTGTGGCCAGGCACCTTCCTGACTCCGCCATGCGGGAAATGGCGTGGCAGAGGGGTTAATCCCCCACCTGTGGAGCTGAGTGCTGTGGGCTGGGTTGGGGGGCTGTGGCGGGGGG